TTAAATATTATACCTAGGAGTCTAGATGTTACAGATCTGCCACTTTTCTTCGTTGGAACACTAAAAAAAGCCATTTATACTTCTTTGGTGATAGATCTACGATCTCTAATGACAAATCTATGGTACTTTCTCTAGATCTACGAGTTATGCCTCTATATCTACAAGCTCCGACGAGATTTGAGACCGCCATCAACCGCCGTCATAGTTTCTAACTCACCGCTCCAGTGAAAAACCACCAGCTTGTCTCCATCTCTTTCTCTCTGATCCCCGGTGAAAACCATCACATCTATGCATCAGGTACGTTGATTTTTTTTCCTTATGTTAAGCTGTGAATTTAATGTTTTAATCTCTCTTTTAGTGTTTACTTTTGTTAAGTTAGTTTTAACTGTTATTAAGTTGTGAAATCATGCTATTAAGTTATGAATCCAAGTTCGTTTTCTTATTTGTTATAATATTTGTATAAACTATTAAGTTGTGAATCCACTGTTATTAAGTGGTGAATCTAAGTTTGTTTTTTATAATATTTGCATACAATTTTTATTCATTGCTTATTTTTATGGTTTTTATGTTGTCATTTAAGTTTAGAATGTGTATTATTATGTTAGTGTTTTCTAAAATAAGTTGATTTAGGTTTTTAAGCTCTGAATTGTAACATTTTAATGTTTTAGTTATTCTTTAGTTATGTTAAGGTAAGTTTTAATTGTTATTAATAAGAAAATATAAGTTTCTAAGTTGTGAATGCATTAATTTTTATAAGTGTTAAACTATGACTGCATGATTTTTATAAGTTTTAAACTACAAATGCATGCTTTTTATAAGTTTTAAGCTGTAAATGCATAGTTTTTTATACAAATATGAATATTTTTTTTCAATGAAAGACATTAGTTTTAGGATTTGGATGCATAGGTTTTTTTATAAGTTTTAAGTGGTAAATACATGATTTTTTATACAGATATGACTGCTTCAATGAGGAATATAAATTTTTAAATGTGAATGTCGTGAATACATGATTTTTTTTTTTTGAAGTTTTATTCTTTTTTATATTAGTATTTTCTCAAATAATGTTAACTTAGGTTTTTTAAATTATGAATTTTATTGTTTTAATGTTTCATTTATTGTTTAATTATGCAAATATTAGTTTTAACTGTTATTAATAAGAAAATATATGTTTAAAATTATGAATACGTGATTTTTTATAAGTTTTAAGTTGTGAATACATTATATTTTTATGCATATATGGTTATTTCAATAAAATACAAAGGTTTTAAGTTTTAAATGCACGTGTTTTTTATAAGTATTAAGCTATTAATGCATGATTCTTATGCATATATGACTCCTTCACTGAAAATCATAAGTCTTATGTTGTGAATGCATGATTTATTATGATTTTATATAATTATGAATAGAGTATCTACAAATTAAACTGTAAATATTTGTGTAAATAAACTTTAAAAGAAGCACTACCTTACAGATCTAAAGGTATAAATGTAAATTTTAAGTTTAGAATTTGACTTTCTAATTTTTGTACATTAAACTGTGAATTTATTATATTAAGTTGTGAATTTTGTATACTAAATTATGAATTGATTGTATTAAGATGTGAATTGATTGTACTAAACTATGTATTTTTATTGAATTTTGTATAAAAATATGAATGATTTATGTATGAATTTTTGTATTCATTTTTGTGAATATAATTATTATTTTTTTGTTTTATAAATATGTAAGAATGTATTAGTTGTTATAGTTATTTTGCATTGAACTTTTAATAAATGAATTAATTAGTTTATTAAACTGTAAATATAATTTTTAAGCTGTCAATCAATGATTTTATAAACATATGTGATTTAGAATAAATGTTGGTTCTGATATTGGCATATATGGTTGGTGGTGACATTTAATTTTAGTTTGTGGTGGTTGTGATAGAGTTTGGTGTTGATTTCTTTGAATATTCAAATTAGTGTATAATGAATTGTATTATGTTATGTTGTAATTTTATAAACTAAAAATGGAATGCATTAAGTTGTATATTTTATATAAAATTTTTGTTAAAATATGAATGAAGGTATGCATAAAAATATTAAATTGTGTATTAGTAAATTATTATGTTTATTAAATTAGGAATATTATATTTAAAATTATGAATATTCTAATATATCTCTTGTGTTTTTTTCATCACACCACCTAAGAGATAGATGTCCGGATATATTTTTAAAGAAATCTACATTTAAAAAAAAAAAAAAAAGGAGAATTGAATTTATCAAGAAGTTAATCATATTTTTTACTAAAATTTTGTATATTTTGGTTGGAAAATAAAAATATTACCAAATAAATTAGAACTACAATGTTTGTTATATATATATATATATATATATATATATATATATATATATATATGTGTGTGTGTGTGTGTGTGTGTGTGTGTGTGTGTGTGTGTGTGCGCGCGCGCGCTTGTGTGTGTGTCAATACAACCAGAAAAATAGTATTGAATTTAATGTTATTCCGGCGGCGGTCCGACGATAGTCCGACGCTTGTCTGACAACTGTCCGATGGTGGTCCGACAACAAGTGAAAAATAGTTTATAAGCTAGAGAATGAAAAAGTTTGTTTAACACAATATAAATATTAGATTTATCCAAAATAACCATTTAAAAAAATGATTCTTAAGATTCTTAACTTTTTTGGTTTCTTATTTGAACCATTATATATATATATATATATATATATATATATATATATATATATATATATATATAGGGTTAGGTTCATGTGAGACGACCTAATTTTGTAAGACCGTGAGACGCATTTTTTATTTTTTTATTTTTTTTTTTAATTTTTTTAAATTTTTTTTTAGTTAATTCAAGTTCCGAAAATAATATTTAAAAAAGGAATTTTTTGATTTTTCCATTTATTTTGCATTTTAAAATTATTTTTAGAATATGTACAATGTAATATTCTATTTAGAATATTTCACGTATTTTTTAAAAAAAATAGAATTTTTTTTATTTTTTTTTATTTTTTTTTAGTTAATTCAAGTTCCGAAAATAATATTTAAAAAAAGAATTTTTAGATTTTTCCATTTATTTTGCATTTTAAAATTATTTTTTATAATATGTCAATGTAATATTCTATTTAGAATATTTCACGTATTTTTCGAAAAAAAAACGAGATTTTTTTTTTAATTTATTTTAGTTAATTCAAGTTCCGAAAATAATATTAAAATTTTTTTTTTTTGGATTTTTCCATTTATTTTGCTTTTTAAAATTATTTTTAGATTTGGTCTCACGATCTCACAAATTTAGAATGGTCTCAAATGAACCTGAACCTATATATATATATATATATATATATATATATATATATATATATATATATATATATATATATATATATATATATATATATATATATATATATCGTGAAGTTCAATAGAGAACCATAATTAACCAATGAAGCAAAGAATCAATCTTTTTTTAAACTTTTAGAACTTATTTTTTATCAAAAAAGAAAACTAAAAATACAGAAATTCATAACTTTTTATCATTTTTCCAATGATATCAAACTCGAAAAAAAATCGTCAAATTCACAATGTGAATCTAAATTCACATGGTGAATCCGAAAAATATATTTAACATTCACAATGTTATGTTATGAATTTAGATATTTTTTGTTTTTTGTTTTTTTTTTTTTTTTTTTTTTTGATAAAGGATAAGCTCTAGACTTGAAAAGAAAAAATTAGTTTTTTGGAGAACCAATAATTATGGTTCTATATTGAACTTTTCTATATATATATATATATATATATATATATATATATATATATATATATATATATATATATATATATATATATAAGTTTTTAGGGGTGGCAACTCTCGACCCAACCCGTAACTCGATACGAAAATAAGTAGGTTGGGGTTGAGATTTCTGACCCGCCAACCCGTTTATTTAATGGGTTGGGTTGGGTTACCTATTTGGGTTCGTTGGTCAACCCGCCTAATATATTTAATTATCTATTTATTTTAATTTTTAACAATCTAAGATCATATTATACTATTAGTTTCTATTTATCATATCCTTAAATTTTAATTTGGTATTCATTCGTAATTTTGTATATCATCAGCCATATGTTTGGGCAATGTGGCATTGTGTTATGGGCTACTGTTGGGCTTGTGTCTCATGATCCCGTCATCCATCTTTGACCTTGACTCCTTGAGTGTTGACTGTTGAGTCCTTGTACAGTCAGTCATTACATATTTGGATGCCCTAATAAAAAAATAGTTCTTTACCCGCTCCAGTCTCCACATTCATGAACGATTGAACGAAAGATAAAGATTAAGGAGTTAAGGACTGATCTTCGAAGGAAGCAACATCACAAACTCATGATTTAATCACTCATCGGGCCGATCCTCACACGCTCCTCATCGGCTCATCGTTGTTCGCACTCACTCTTGTCAGCTTTGACGTTTTCGACTCACCTTCCTTTCTCTCTATGGTAAGTAACAATCTACACTCTACATTATGTTTGAACAATTGCACTTTTCATGAATGTTTTGGTTTTTAGAGTTTTATTTAGATGTTTATGACTTTATGTTTAATGTTTATGATGTTTAATGTTTACGACTTTTAGACTTCATTTTATTTGGATTTTTCAATTTCATCTTAAAATATGTTTCTTATTAAATGGGTTATACGAGTTGGGTTCGACTCACTCACACGTGAAGCGGCCAACCCATATATTCATACGGGTTATATGAGTTGGGTTGGGTTGATGTTTCCAACCCGTGACCCGCCAACCCATATATTATATGGGTTGGGTTGAGTTTCTGAATTTCAACCCATCAACCCGTGACCCGCCAACCCAAACTCAACCCAATTGCTAGGCCTATAAGTTTTACGAACATCTCATTCAATCGCTTACTATTTTAATTGTTAACCTATCTATATAAGCAGAATCTTAGATGGATATTCTTGCATCAAAATGAGAACAGAAAATATGTGGCTATATCTACAACAGTAGCAACATTCAGTTATATCTATTAATTTATATGACAGTACCCATATGTTTATATTAACAACAATCACATTTGCATTTAAGTTTATTACACACCACTTTAATTAAAGCCCATGAATATACATAAAAGCATCACCTTTAGAGAAACATAATAATGAAACGATACATAAACGATCATAAGGAGTAACTTGTAAGTTGTAACCCATTTTTATTGTCATATAGTTCTACTTCTTGTAGTCTTCAACATCATCATTCATCAGTATCAGGATCACTTGAGAAGGTGAAGCTCAACAACTTTGGTAACTTTGTAAGCAAGATCAATGAGTGCATCTGGGTCAGGGACGTCTTCATTTATCTTCTCATACTCAAGCGTCCATGTCACAAAGTTGTTTTCACCATTTTCAGTAAAGTGAATGTGGGCTTTTAAGCTTTTGTAAATCTGCAGCATGGCATCTCCTTCTAACGGCGTGTAGGTGATGGATTTGTTTTTTTCATCTGCAGCTTCGAGAACTTGCTTTGAAGATAGTAACTTTCCATCTATAAATAATCAAGAAACACAATAAAGAATCGAGGCTATTTGATTCGTCTTAGAAATTAAGAAAGGTCATATACTGAGCTAATTACATGTAGTTTATGGGTAATATGATACCGTTTTGGAGCCCATCTATGGTTTCGAGGTCCATTATATATAAAGTTAAAATTTTCTATTTAGGTCATTTTTTAGTGTTTGAAGCTAAAGAAACGCCCTCAATGGCGACTCGAAAGTCGAAACAACTTGTTTTTTCTCGTAAAACTTTGATTTTTATTTGCTTTCTATCGTTTACCTTAAAATTTAGTAGTATTGGGTATAGTTTTTTTTTTTTTTTTTTTTGCAAAAACCAAAGAAAAAAAGATTGAAAATGTAGGAGAGGTATGTCACCTAGGATGTATAAGCTACTAATGCACAAAATATTGTATTAGCAGTTTTTACACCATAGATGGCATACCACATCTATGAATTGCGGTGTTTAATTTGTTTTTTCTTTTTCTAACCTGTATAATGATATAGTTTTATTATGTTGTATATTATTTGCATTGATTGGTTATTTGATCGAAAAATTAATTGAATTCCATGAACAAAACAGTAGATTATTTGAAGGAAACAGCAGATGACACCTGCCAGCTACGGTTTTGTTCTTGATGCTCATCCAAACATCAAACAGTAGTTTTGTTCAGAGCATATTATATGTGAGTAAATAACCTACACTTTTTTCGAAAAAAATGATTTTTTTTCTTATAATCCGCAACGAAACCTCAGACTTTACCCAAAACAGCATGCGTCTTAAATGGGCTACGGTTTTGTTAGCTATTTTTTGCAAAATTTTGACTAGTAGTTCAAAAATAATTAAAACATATGGCTAGTTTGTCATTTTCTCTTTCGAAAAACCATAGTACAAATTGAAATCGATCGTAACTAGTTCATATATTTAGTTATATATATAAAGTGTATAGTTTTCATATTATTATCGTATCTTCACATTAAATGATATTAGAGCTAATTCTGACATGCATGGTGATAGCTTGAGCGTGATAAGTTCCAACTTCATATGTTTTCCTAAATTAGGAACGAATATTACGTACCAATTTTGTAGTTCCAAATAACTTTGGATCCGATTGCACCCCATTCGCCTTCTACCAACTGGCATCCAAGAATATGATCGGGGGCTATCTTCGACAAGTTGTTTGGTCTGTACCTGAAGAGTCCAAGAAAGACATCTGCATTGCATTTGATATCCACTTGGGCCACCCTCTTCCCACATAAACCCATTTTTCAAGAAAATGTTTTAGCTCTATTGTAAGGTAAAAGCTTTGTGATGAGAAGAACTCTTGCCTCACCTAGGCCTTTATATAGAGCCATCTACAATTTACTTTAGGCAAACAAGAATATGAATGTACAAGTAGAAAAGCAATCCACCATCTTTTTATAAGGGGTTGATGGATATTCATATTCGCGTTCTCTATCTAACCAACATGAATCTGAATGGTATTTGCTTGGTTCAACAATCAACACTTCCACTTGTGTTTTGCAATTCCAAAGTTCTCAATTATTAAGCTATATATTCCACAAGAAATAGACATGGGAATATGACATTATTAACGTGGTCCTAGGTAGTCCTAAAGCTAGTAATAGATGCTATATTTAGAAAAAAAAAATATGAAGTTGTACAAATCAAGATGGTACTCTTACAAAACCAAGTACACCTCCAATCTTTCTTCAAACTTATGAGAAACTTAAACATACAACTCATCAAATGTATCTAGACAATGATCGATGCAAGGGGAAAATTATGTGAACTCTTGTACAATATTTCTCCAACATATATTGCAAAGTGTAAAACTACAAAACATTAGGGAATCGGTTTGAGGGGTATGATATTTGCTAGTATTATATTGATAGTATAAGCAATGATTTTAACAGGAGCATTAAATTTTTTTCCCACCAAGCATTTATGGACAAGGAGATTTATAAATGTGATTTGAAAACACCAAGTTAAAGTTGTATTTTAAAAAGACGAATGTAGAAAATATTTAATAATTAAGACTTATCATAATTGACAGTGGTGTTAAACTTGTTTCTTTAAGTCGGTTTGCTAGTGTGTTGGAACAACATGATGAGTTTTGTTTAATAGTGAAGAACTTAAGAAGAAGAAGAATATATTGTGATATATAAAATGTATATATTCAAATAATCTAAAATCGGATAGCTATTCATCATGATGATCTTTTACATAGATATTTCATTCCAAAATAGGAAGACTATGATTTGGGATATATCTATACTTTGTATAAAATTACGAGATTGATACAGTTGATAACACCTTTGACTTCATATAAACGGAAGAGTTATTTCTTTGTTGTGGTTTACAAACAAGAGAAACTAAGTAACTAACCTTAGGACGGAATCCCACTTCTTTTGTTAGAAAAGTTGTTCAAAATTCTTGTTTGTCTTACAGAAATTATGATGTTGAGACTATATAAAATGTTATCGTTTCTTGTGACAATGTTGAAAAAATAAATAAATGAGAAAATGTTAAACCAGCTGTTTGACGATGAAGAGTGACAAAAGAGATTGTGATCGACAATTATTTGACCCAATTTAAAACAGTTTTCAAGCACACTATTTTCTTACAAAAATGAATTCACCTCTTATATCAATATATCTCTCACAACAATACAAGTCCCACCAATTTCAAAAGCAAGTACACTATCTAATCTAGTAAAACGTTAGCAAGAATCGAATACCATCAAAAGCAAGTACATTTTTTGCATGGCTTCACTTGTCTCTACAAACTACAAGCGTATAATTTACAAGAATGCCATCGTCCAGAGACATGCAACAAAAACTCGAACGAAAGAAACAGAACCCAACACTGAAAACCCGACCGATGTGGTGGAATTCGTAGACGGAGCCACAGATGTTCCATTGATGAAGCTTCCATTAATACTCCCACCACTAAAAACTCATCAAAAAGAAAACTATAAGAATGTATGCAACTATGCATTCACAATCACACAAACGAATTAACAAAAAAAGATGATCTTTTACCTCCCCGGAAACGTACACCCATCGCGACTTGGATTAGTTGTAGTAACGGTAGCGACGCCATTGAAGTTGCAGGTTCCGTCGGCCATGCCCATCCGGTGATAATAAGAATCAAAAGCGTAAGTCGCATGTGCCACCACCGTATCCGGCTCATAACACGGTTCACCCTGCAACATCACCGAGCAATTCACCTTCCCCGGCCCACAAGCCCAGTCCAACGCCGCCTGCAACATCTTCTTGTCGGCGTCTTTCTTAGCCACACAATAAGTCTCGTCGGTGGTGTCATTCGCTAACACAGACCCAGAATCAATCAAATGAAGCACATAAACCGGTTTCCCGTTTGAATCAAAAAGCCCCCAGTTTTTTTCCGACACCGATCCCGGTTTCAAATCTTCGTTATAAAGCTCGTAGATGTACGTACTGGTGGCTACTCCGGGGTGTTTAGGAGTTCCGGTGGTGTTTAAAACATGTTTGATCAAGTTACTGTTGTAGGTATTCGCGTTATCGAGGGTGGCGTCTGGTTCGTTGGAATCACCTTTTGATGGCCAACCGGATTCCGTTACAACGATCGGAATGTTTGTGTAGTTTAGATACAACATCGCGAAATAAGCTGCATCCACCACAGCGTCGAAGACGTTTGTGTAGTGTAAAAGGGTGTTGGAATCGATGGCTTCTTTTTCCGGCGTGAGAGGGCGGAATAGGGCGTAGTCCAACGGAATTGCGCCGTTGGATTGGATGAAATCGTGGTAAGGGTAGACGTTAAGCATGAGGTATGAGTCGGTAGATTGGAGGAATTCTAGCAATGAAGTCATTACAGGTTCCCATGTCCGATTAAAGAAGGCTTGCGACGGAGGGAAGGAATCGAGAATGATGGAGGAGGAATGGACGGTGGAGACTTTGATTTGGGAGTCTAGACCGGCGGCGATTAGGGCGGAGTGGATATATTTTAGGGCGGAGACTAGGATGGATGCGGTGTTTGGGGTGGTGGTGAGGACTTCGTTTCCGACTGAAATGGCGGTGATGTTGGTGGTGGTGATGTGTGGGAGGATGTTACGGGATACCCAATTGGCGGCGGTGGCGTTGGATTGAGCGATGGCGAGGAGTTGTTGGTTGGGAACGGTGACTGTGACTTGGATTCCGCTGCCGGAGAGGGCTAGGAGCATGGCCTGATCGGCGTCGTAGAGGCGGACATGGCGGATTTGTTGAGATTTGAGAAGGACTACGACTTGGGTTGGGTTTGGCATGTCGGAGAGGGCGGTGCCTATGTTTACTCCGATGAAGGCATCTGCAATCAAGAACACAGAAAGTATTTTTACAGATTATTTCTATGAAGACCAGTTTTTATTTTTACTAATTATTTCTACGTGATATTTCTTTCTTTTTCCTTATAAGCTAGATCAAGTAGATTATTAAAAAGTTGGTTTATAATATTTTACTAAATTGTAATTACGTAAAAAAATAAGTAGGATAAAAGAAGTTTTTTTAGGCTTAAAGAAACTATTTTTTCGTGTTACAATTTATAGCATAATTTTATATTTCAAAAACAAAAACCTTATTTCAAAAACAAAAACCTTATGACATCTCAAAGACATTACAATAACAATTTCAAAACATGATTTTTTTTTTTTTGAATTTTGTAACCTCAAAATCATTGCTATTAGTTATTATAATTATATAATTAATATATATAATATATTAACAGGCTTCTCCTCCAGAGGGTTCAGGATGGGAGTGCCTAAATATCCTCCATATATAATATATTCACAAGGGCCTGGGGGTTTAACAAATATCCTCCATATATGTCCCTAATGATAAGGTAAATTATGTTTGCTATACATTGTCTAAATAATTCAGTAAAGCAACTAAATTTTCATAATGTTTGGCGTTCTAACTGAAAAACTAAATGTTATCTGAAAAACTAGTTGATAAAAAATGACGTCTGATAAATTAGCTAAAAGATATAAAATGGTATCTAAAAGAATATGTTTTCTATAATTAATTAAGGATATATTCAGAAAAAAATAATAAATAAAAATATAAAAAACTAATCGAACTAGTTTTTTATAAGCTATATTTTGGTTTGTTAAACAAAACAATTTCAAAAACTAAATTAATTGTAACAACCAAACAAAGCCTTAACAAACTTAGAGGGTGTTTGGATAGGGGAAAAAATAACCGTTTATTGTTTATTCTCATCACAATAAGCTGAGTTGAAATGTTTAAATAAGAAGCTAAAAAAATCAGTTTATTTTGGTAGAAATAAACTAAATAAGCTGATTTTAATAAATAATTTAAGAAATGTTTATTGGTTATTGTTTATTGTGGTAGAAATAAACTAATCCAAACATTTATAAAAAAAATATATTAAAAAAAAAAAAAAAAAAAAAAAAAAAAAAAAAAAAAAAAACCTTTTATTCTCACCGTAATAAACTAGTAAGCAAAAAAAACATATTTATCCAAACACCCCTGTTAATTTCGTTAGGAGGTTAGCAGAACTAGGATATAAAGATTAAACCATAAAAACAATCAAATAAAGATTAAACCATAAACATAATCAAATAGTTTATATATTTTGACCTTTTCGAATAAAACAAAGACATGTTATCATTAGTTAAAACAAAGACATGTTATCATTAGTTAATGATAAAACAAAGACATGTTATCATTAGTTAATGATAAGATGCCACATAAGTGAAACAAAATAATACCAACAAACTAAGGAATTAAGTAATTAACCGTTAAGTATTAAGAAAGAAAGAAAGTTACAATAAGACGATAGAGTAGACAGATTACTAATAATACCAAAAGATATTATAAGAAATTAATAATATAAATAATGTTCAAATATTGAATATTATTAACCACCCATTGATGTTTAAAGATACTCTATCGATAAAGTAACATTATACTTTTATTGCAAATAGTGATATTGAAATAATGGAATTTATGTAAATTAATTTATTTCTTTATATTAATAATAAGATTATCACAAAATTGACCAAAGTAGATAAAATTATTTAATCAATTATATTTTTCACTTTTTTAAAAAATGTCCCTATGTATCTTTACGAAATTACTTTTTTTGTGCGATTTTTTTTTTCTGGATGATTTTCTTTAATTAAATTCAAAGATTGTGAAATTCTTCATAGCATTCTTAAACCTTTTCATATCATTGCGAAAGTGATATATTTTCATCTATTTTCTTTTTTAAAGCTTTTTTTTTCTTTGACAACATTTACACACACTTTTGCGACAGTATAGTTGGGCATTTGTGTAAAAAGCAAACAATGGCCATTTTGTTAAAACCTTTCCATAATTTTGATATTTTTTTATGTTCTCACTTCTCATTAATAAATTATGTGATTTAATTAAAACATCAAGTTCCATGTAATGTATCGATTTACATTTCATTAAATTAATTTTTTTTTATTATATTTAGTGGATGGTATTTGCTCATTTTTGGGTCAAATATATGTTGGAGACTTATACACATAATAATATAAAATAAAATAAAACCTTAAACTCAAAAATAAATAATAATAATAATATATTTCTATTACCAAAAAGAATATAGGGAAAGGTAAAAACCTTTTTGATTCAAGTGAGAAGTGCGAATAAGGTCCAAGAGTGTCATACTTATAATCCACTGATCCACATGTGTACACACATTTTTCTTTTTATATGTATAGTCACTTTGACAATAAATGTGTATATTAATTATAAATTTACTACGAAGGAACTGTTGTCACTATATAGATGCAGTCACATGGTTAGATTCTAAAATATTAAATCGGTTGCGATTTGTGAGACTTGTCTAGATTAATCTAGATGTAGTCATGTTTCGGGTCTTTGTCGAAATTGCTTAAAAGGGTACAAGTAACAAAAGTTTTAAAGAACATTGTGTACAAAGTTCACAAAAAAAAATGATTTTTATAATAAAATCATTAAGAAAGTTTCACAAGATTATAATTTATACCAAACCAGATACAAACTCAAGTTTAAAGGATTACCCGAAAAATAAAAAAACCAAACAAGTCAATGGAGAAAAGAGTTGACCTTGATCAGCTGAAACAGCCAAAGGAAGAAGAAGCAAAATAATGAAGATATTGATGACCATTTGTAATC